CAGAAGCAGAAACTCACCTCAGTAGCTGAAGCTCACCCCCACCTTTGCTCATGGACCATTACTCTGGCCTGGGCCAGTCTATTTTACATAACAAAAATCTACTCCAGGTAGAGCTATAATAGGAATTGCCCAATGCCCTTTCGTTATATCATCATCCAGCAAGACTCAACCAAGCCTGGGACTCAGGACAGTCTACAGAGTTGCTCCTGCATGGCCCCATTGGGAGTCTGACAACCCATCAGAATACAAGCTCAAATTCAAATCCCAACAGAGGGTATAAAACAATTGCACTCTCAGCATATCAGCCCTTCTTTCTTCACCCAAGCCATGTGGTCCTGTCCACCATTAAACCATCTTTCCACGCAGTCACCATGTTTCTAGTGTCTTTCTTCCCCGCTTGGAACTGAACCCACTTTCAACACTGCCTATGCATATGAACGCTTTCAGTGGAAAAAGCATAGTGTAAGAAATAAACCATGATTCCAAATGAAAAAAAAAAAACCAAACAAAGTGGAATTCAGAATCAGCCGATTCTGAAGGATGCCATTTTATCTATGACTTCCTATGCCTCGGGGGGGTTGAATGCAAAGTCCTTCACTGATCATCCAGAGACCTAATAACATCAATGACCAAGTGACAGGCCAGACCTCACTCTCTTCCTTCCCCACTCCACCAATCTAGCACAAGATGCAGAAAAAAAAAACACGACATCATGCCATGGGGGTTTGCAAATCCCTCTCCAGCTTTGCGTAGATAAAAAGTCCTGCCTTCGCAAACCGTCATGCAAGAAACTAAAAAGAGAGACAGAGAGACTTGGCTAGAAAAAGATTTATTGTTTCGCATCCATAATTTAAGCTGGAAGCTCCAGCATTCAAAGCAAACAGGGATATTTTAAGGAAGCTGCTTCTAAATCTGGCCGTGATTTTCATAACCTGTTCACTGGATGCTGTTCCAAACGAAGGCATCCATGGGTTTGAATGATTGAATGATTGTTGTTTCCTCCCCCCCAAACACTACAGATGTTCTGACCCAAGCTTCGTCAAACTTAATGAAACACAAACTTATTTTAAAAGCAAAACCTATTTTAATGCAATGCTGGGAATTACTTTCATTCCCAGCCAGAACTAATTATCTACAGTTCCCCCAGATAAGAGCACTCCTTTCAGTGCTGTAGAATGCTGCCAAAAAAACAGAAGTCCAATTAATTATAACATAAACCAATCAAAATCCCAGAAAAAAACAACCAGAGTTCACAGAGCTTCAAGGAGGATTCGGAATCCATCGAACTACTTTGCTTCCTGCAAAGAGTTCGTCATTGAGGTCTGACTTTTATCCCTTATGGGAGCGGCAATCACCTCCCAGCCTTATTCCCGAGTTGCCCCTTTTGTCTCAGCTGCTCTCTCCTTCTAGCAGCTCTGTGCACACGCACACTGGGAACAGGCTCCCCTGGGTCCTCTGCCTCGCTGCTGCCAGACTCCGAAGGCAGCACCCCACTCCCAGCTGGTCCTGGCCCCATCCCTGCATCAGACGCAGGACCCTCATCCGAGTCCTCTCCAGACTCTCTGCTTGGTCCCCTTTCTTCCTCACTGTCCAACTCCGCTGCCGTCTGCACTGGCTGCCGGTGAACCACAACACCAGAATCCTGAAGCTGATTGATAACCCACATGCCGATTGTTAGTTTGTGTCTGGGCCTCCGAGACAGGCAGAAAATTTTCTCAACCAGCATGGCTTTTTCCCCATTTAATGGCTATATTAAGCTCATCGTTTCATTGTTTCTTAAGGCTCCAGAAGACCAAATCTTTTGAAGGTCAAAAAACACTTCTCAGCGGAGATGCTAAATATAGTGCCACAGAGAAACCTTTGAGAAGAGGGCTTTCTGCTCCAGTTGGCGGCTATTTTGATGACAAAATAGAATGTTGCCTGTGGAGCAATTTCTAACTAGTAGGGTTGGAAGTGGACGGCAAACAGTAATTGTCATTTCCTGGGGCTGGTTCACATACTGGTGGCCCAGTATGGGGTTGAATTCCCCTTTGCTGGCTGTGTCTCAGCAGAAGTTGAAGAGACATTCCTCGGGGATGTTAAATGTCCAAAAACATAAGTCACCAGCAGCCTTTTCATTTAGAGGAGGAATTGCAGTGATTGACGTCTGTAGAGATTCTCAGTCATCCAGGTTCATGGTTGTCCCAAAGGTGCTTTTTTTAAGGAGGCAACTGGACTTTTCTTTGTTTTTTCTTTTGATGATGTTTCACTTCTCATCCAAGAAGCATCTTCAACTCTGACAGGATGGTGGGGAATGGAAGGATTTCTATATTATATATTTATATATTATATTTAGATTCCTTGCAGACAGCTGGACATTTGCATCCTTTTAGAGGGTCTTCAAGTGCTTCAATGAGCCTCTAAAAGGATGCAAATGACCAGCTGTCTGCAAGGAATCTAAATATAATATATAAATCCTTCCATTCCCCACCAGAGCTGTCAGAGCTGAAGAAGTTTCTTGGATGAGAAGTGAAACTTCAAAAACTTGGATGAGAAGTGAAACTTGGATGAGAAGTGAAACTTTGTTTTTTCTTCAAAAGAAAAGTCCAGTTGCCTCCTGAAAAAAAAGCACCTTTGGGACAATCCTGGTGATTGATAATTAAGACACGCTGATTTGAAAGAGATCCTGTATTAAATTTTGACTTTATTTTTTAAAACTCTTCACTCTGTGGTGGAAAAATTCGGATTCCACTCCCCGCACCCTGGTTTTTAATCGTTATCCCAAATCCTTATTTAGGGTATTTAGGATAGAGACTCAAAAGTCCTTTGTAATGAAGTGGTTGCTGAGGATATCTCCACCCTCTCAAAGATGTCTAGTTGCTGAAAGAGTTACAAGCTTGTTGAGATATGAGGAAACGTACCATCCCTTCTCTCTCTACCTCCAAAACAGCAGTTCAGCACTGATCCAGGCCAGGTTGCATCACAAATGGATACAACCTCCTAGTTTTGAAAAGCAGACTGCAATATGGTAAGGAAGAAAAAAGATGAAGATTTTGGGTGAAGAAAATATAACCAATCTGCTCTGCATCTTTGGATCATAGTCACTATACATTCCTAGACAACTGTCATGGCATAGAACATCAGGGGTCTTCCAACTTGACAGCTTTAAGACTTGTGGACTTTAACTCCCAGAATTCCTCCTCCAGTCACGTTAGCTCAGGAATTCTGGGAGTTGAAGGCCACAAGTCTTAAACTTGCCAAGTTCGAAGATCCTTGCTCTATTTTCTCTCTCTCTCTCTTTCTCTCTTATCCTATCTCTCTCTTTCTATCTATTCTACCTCTCTTTCTCTATCTATCTATCTATCTATCTATCTATCTATCTATCTATCTATCTATCCATCCATCCATCCATCCATCCATCCATCCATCCATCCATCCATCCATCCTCTCTCTCTCTCTCTCTTCTACCTCTCTCGATCTATCTATGCCAGGGTCTTCAAACTTGACAGCTTTAAGACTTCAACTCCCAGAATTCCTCCTCCAGTCATGTTAGCTCAGGAATTCTGGGAGTTGAAGTCCACAAGTCTTAAACTTGCCACGTTGGCATAGATAATCAAAACCGCTATAGAGGTTGACCATTTTTCTACAGATTTTTAAAGCCTCCAAGGTAAGATAAAGAATCAAACTGTGAGACTATTTCTAGGGGGAAATAACCCCAAATTAGGATGTATATGTGAGCAGATGTGTACTAAAGATAATCTTGACTTACAACAGTTCGTTTAAGACTACAACAGCACTGGAAAAAAATGACTTATGTCCGTTTTCACACTTATGACTGCTGCAGCATGGCCATGGTAACGTGATCAAAATTCATACGTTTGGCCACTGACTCACATTTATGACGGTTGCAGTGTCTTGGGGTCATGCTTTTGCAACCTTCTGACAAACAAAGACAATAGGGAAGCCAGATTCACTTAACAACTGAGTCACTCATTTTGCAACTGCAGTGATTCATTTAACAACTGGGGCAAGAAAAATCGTAACATGAGGCAAAAGCTCAATTAAAAAATGTCTCACTTAGTAACATACATTTTGGGCTCAGTTGTGGTCGTAAATTGAGGACTACCCATATAAAATAAAATCTAGAAGGCCACTTTTCTCAGTGGAGAACTAGGGAGCAGGAAATAATACAAATTAGGCTCTGATTTCCCTTAACAGTTTGCAAAGATACGCATCCCCTTGCCCTCCAGTCTCATTTTACAGCACGCCTAATTCTGGTCCTTCTTTTAAACCTGCATTTTAAAAGAAACACTATTCACTAGCAAACAAGTCGAGCCTCATTTGCATAAAGCACTGCCCCAGGTTTTTAGTTCATAATTCTAATTAATACCCAGTTCCTTGTTTTGTAACAGCTCAATAAATAAACCAACGATAGACCTAAAGCTTATGTAACACTCCCTGTATAGCTTAGTGTAGAAATATTTCAGAACTTTGATTGGGGTACTCTACTCAAAATGTACACTGTTGCACAAAACACAACCCCAAATTTTACAAACCAAGACTTTGTGCAGTCCACAACTAATTTTAGAGCCACAACAAGCTGGAAACCGATCGGTCTGAGAGAGTGATAGGTCATTCCATTGTTTACAATCCAGCATTTAGCAAGCATATATATGCCATTGCCAAACATAATATGCCAACTCACCCCTTGTTAGATTTCAACAAGCAGTTTCTGTTGCAATAGATAATAACTGTAGAGTTTCATAATAAAAGACAGCCTTTTAGAAAAGAGACCTTACCAATCAGGGGGATAATAATTAAAAAAAAGTCTTATGAACCTAACTCTGGTTTCCTAATTCCAGTTCACGTCCCTTCATTTGAAGACTTCAAAGATCAAAACTTCGCATTTGGATACATCTCTAAGTTACACTTTGATATAAACAAGACCCAAAATTTAAAATCACACCTGGTGCAATTCTTGAGAGAAAATAGGGTTATAAAAATTATTCCTAGGCTCTTACCTAGATATGAAACACCTTCCTCTGGAGTGATGGTTCCATATTTAACCATCATCTTGACAAAATCTATTAGCGTTTTCATGATTGTAATCAGGGTTTCCTTTTCTTTCACTTCTTTCTCTGCGTGAAGAGTAAACAGATTCATGATCTCTTGGAAGTTAAGATAGCATGATTGTTTAACTTTAAAAAAAAAACTCTTTATCTTTTGATCAGCATGGTTTTTTTTCTCTCTCTCTCAGCCAGTTTGATTTTCGGGAGAGAAGACTATTGGCACAGCAGACTGAATCTGAATTAATGGGCCTGTTGAGAAATATTGCATGACTTAATCTGCATAAGTAGATTTGTGCGTTTTTCCATTTCTGGACCAATACAGATGGTGACAGCTGAGGATTATGGCCACTGATCTATTCAAAAGTGAGAATGCAATAGCTCAGCTTTTATTTAATTTCAATTCATTTGGTCCTGCCTTTTTCCTCCAACTAGCGTTCCAAATTAATGGGTGTTTATAGGGCTTTTAGTCATCGCTTCTCTCCCAGACTGTTGCCATTTAATGATCAGAGCAATAAGTGAAAAATCAGGAAATGGATTCATATTTCACGCTAAGCCATCATCATGTTGTTTGCTCCGGCTTGGTTTAATGAGCTATGCGAGCATGATTAGCCACTGTGTTTTATGAATCTAGGTATGGGCTTTGTGATCCTAAATTATGACAGCTGGCAAATCACAGTTAAGCAAATGGGATGCCTGAACACAGCTCAGCAAATAATCTGGGCCAATTTGAACAACTGAAACACAAAATGGACTGAAATGAATTTTTCATAGGGTTATTAAGATGCGGATGCATTCCACAGTAGAGGAGTCAGAGTCCATGATGCATTATGGTTTGTTTAAACCAGGGGTGTCCAACTCGATTTCACTGAGGGCCGCACCAGGGTTGTATTTGACCTGGGGGACCCGGGGGGAGGCATAGCCAGGGTGGACGTGGTTGTTCTGACCTGGGCTTCCCAAGATCATGAAGCAGACTCCGCATCCGGATAAAATCCCTTTTATTTAGGTTAAAGGAAATTCCTCTCCAGCAAAGTCCCGGCAAACAGTCTTTCAGGAGATTTCACAACTACAGACCTTTATCAGGCTTGGAGATTTGCCAGGCCGATATTTTCAAAGCACCACATTGTAGCAGCAATGACTTGGCAAGAAGTCAGAAACAGATCTTCATCCTAATGAACTGAACGAATTGTCTCCTGCAAACACCACTCCCCTTTCGTTCCTCTTTATTCCCTATGGGAGGGGTCATTCACTGTCCACCTGTGCCCTTACTCCCGAGTTGATCCTTGTTCCTTAACTATTCCCTTCTCCTGGCAGCTCTGTGCATGTGCACACTGGGAACAGGCTCCAGCTGTTCTTCTGCCCACTGATCTCTGACTCCGAAGGCAGATGATAACTGTTGCATGGCCCTGGCCCCATCTCTGCCTCCAACGCAGAGCCCTCGTCAGAGCCTTCCCCAGACTCCAGTACTGGCCCATGTTCCTCCCCAACCTCCTTACTGTCCAAGTCTGCCGCCAGTTCCACTGGCTGCTGGCCGGCCACAACAGTGGCCAGCTCAATGTCACTCATGTTGGGGGTGCCTGTGGTGGCCCAAGCACTCTGCCAGTAAAAATGGAGTTCCATTTTCGTTGGCAGAAGGTCACAGGAAGCTGTTGCAGCCAAAACCGGAGGTGAGGGGGCCAGCACATGGCCCTCCCAACCTCTGTTTTCACTGGCAGAGGCACCACAGGTCAGTCTTTTGCTGTTTCCGGGGTGGCCCCGCAGGCCAGATCTAAGCACCTCGCGGGGCTGTATATGGCCCACGGGTTTTGAGTTTGACACCCCTGGTTTAAACTGATCTGACTTCACAAATGTTTGTTTATTGATCTATTGCTGTGATGGTGAACCTATGGCATGCGTGCCACAAGTGGCACACAGAGCCATTTGTGCCAGCACGCGAGCCTCAGGCAAACTTACCTCACTGCACATGTGCACTCCTCACAGCTGATTTTCTGACTGGTTTGAGGCCTTTTTTGGCCTCCCAGAGACTTGGAAAAAGCCTCTGCAAGGCTTTTCAGGTCGAATAGGCCTGTTTCGTCATTTCCTGTAATACCGGAAGTGATGAAACGGGCCTATTATTCCACCTGAAAAGCCTTGCAGAGGCTTTTTCCAAGCCTCTGGGAGGCCGAAAAAGGCCTCAAACCAGCCGAAAAAAATCAGCTGTGAGGCGCAGTGCAGGTGTGGCGGGTGGTGGTGGTGGTGGGAATTGAGCGCGCATGTGCAGAGGATGTGGACGTGCGTGCATTGCATTCTGGGTGCTGGTGTGCAAGTGCGTGCACGTTAATGCGCATGCAATTTTTGGCACAGGAGCCCAAAAAGGTTAGCCACCACTGTTCTATTGTATTGTTTTTTAAATGGGTAAGCTGCCCAGAGCTGCTATGGTGAGATGGGCAGCTTATAAACCCAAGAAATAAAATAAATAAAATATAAATCAATAAAACATGGGATAACTCTGATATTTGAAATAATTGATCCATAGGAAACTCACCTGAGTCAAGGCTTTTTAATAGTTCGTAGAAATTTGGGAAGTATTGGAGATCCTGAAAGCGATCCTCTAGGGGCAGTTCATTTCTTCTTTCTAAGAGGTTGGCGGGCGCCCAGGTATTATCCAAGGTATCATCTCCATCAGTATTTTTTAACACCTTCATAAAACAAAATAAAAGTATGTATCAACTCATAAAACATTTCTATGGCCTTTTTATAGTTACCAACAGAAAAGGAGGCGGGGGGGAAAGGGGTTTGAAAGAGCAGTGCAGCGGCTTGGGATTGAAAGTGCATTCCATGCATAGTTTTTTCAGAGATTGTAACTCGGTGACTGAAGTTTCTGCCCCGCAAAAATCTCATTGGAGAACACGATGGATGACGCTTGGCTATGGATGTGTTTCATTGGAGAATATGAATTATGATACACCTGGGGGGTGGGGGGAAAACCAGGGTCAAGGGTGACAGTGAATTATGTGTCTCAGAGTTGGCTCCACCCAGGTGGTGCCAGCAAGTTAACTCCCAATAAATCCCGCTTAGTTTGGCTCAGGATTCATGATTTAATTGGGGTAACTGCCAGAATCCTGACGGTATATATATTTGGATATCACAACCAAATACTTGATACCAACTAAATGAATGGCAGGAAATGCCTTAGTCCACTTCTGCTAGTCCACCGAAGGGATTAAAGAAATTAATACAAAATAAGACTAACAATCGGGATGAAAGAAAGTGACCGGCCTAAGTTCACCCAGCTGGCTTTGTGCCAGAGTCTGGACTAGAACTCACAACCTCCTGATTTCTAGCAGCCATGATGTCTAGATGTAATAAGTCTAATTTTTAAGTACCAGATACTGGAAGTGAACTATAGAGATCCCATTATTTTTATTCACTGCTCATGAATATTCAAAAGCATCTCGCAGCTGTCCTATGGAATAGAATTGCCTGGGGTCATCCTATACATGAAACTACAGTATAACATCATCACCATCTTTTAATGACCCCATAATCCCTTATGGGGTAGAGTCTGGGATAAGTGAATGTGGCTAGCTGAGGGTTTACTGGCTGGATGCCTTTCCTGTCGCCAATGCAGAGTTTTGTTCAGCAGATTTATTCTTATTGTGCCCAGAGAGAGAAATATTTGCTTTTACCTAGGATCGAACTTACAGGCTGTTCATTACTTATTGGATCCTACCAAGACAAAACTATTCTGGGTTATTCAGTGGTAGGTTTCTCAGAGATGGAAAAGTTCTTCAACCTAGATGTTGTAGTGCAGGGGTCCCCAACCACCGGTCCACGGACCGGGACCGGTC